CCCTAAACCCTAAACCGAAGCCTCGAGCCCGGCAGAGATGATCCGAGCCTTTCAGCTCTGCAGCAGGCGATCCAGCCGAAGACGAAGAAGCGGCGCCTTTGGCACGGGAATTTAGGGTTTGGGGTTTAGGGTTTAGGGTTTGGGGTTGAGGGTTTAGGGTTTGTGGTTTAGGGCTTAGAGTCTGTAGGGCTTCGGGTTTAGCGTCTAGGGTTTAGGGTTTAGGGTCTGTAGGGTTTAGGGCTTAGAGTCTATAGGGTTTAGAGTTTAGAGTCTATGGGGTTTAGGGTCTAGAGTCTAGGGTTTGGGGTTCAGGGCTTAGGGTTTAGAGTCTAGGGTTTAGGGTTTGGGGTTTTGGGGCTTAGTGTTCAGGCCGTTTAGGGTTGAGGTTATGGTAGGGCTGTCCTCTAGCAGCCATATGTAGTTCGCTATTCGCAGGGTCTTTGCTTATGGATGAATGCCAAGCATAAACATAAACTGGCTGATCCTTGGAATCGTGGAAAGTATGAGAAGAGGTGACAGAACCGGCTGTGAGATTCGAATCAGCTGAATGGGATCATGAACTGTTCCATTTGCCAATATTCTGAAGGTACTTATGCTTGGGCGCCCTTAGCCCTGTTCCCTGTCTGATCAGAACCGAAACCACTGTGCGTTGTTGTTTCTATGTGTATTTAATTTATCTGTATACACACATTTGGGGGTTTCCGGAAATAGGGGACCCTAGTATAGTACCCTAAGTAGTAGGATCCTTATTATAAGGACCCCCAAATAAGGTACCCTAATTTTCGCAAACTCCCATATATAGAGCTAGTATATATCTGTACATAATGCAATAACCCCAAACCCTAAACCCTAAACCCTAAACCTTAAACCCTAAACCCTAAACCCTAAACCCTAAACCCTAAACCCTAGCCTTCTGCCACCAACCTCAGGGCTGGCCGACCGAAGAGCGGGAAGCCGCGCTTCAACGCCGAGGGCGTGGCTTGGCCATGTCTTTCCCTAACCCCCCAGGTACCTACTAGTTTAGGGTTGAGGGTTTAGGGTTTAGGGTTTAGGGGTTAGGGTTTAGGGGTTTAGGGGTTTAGGGTTTAGGGGTTTAGGGTTTAGGGTTCTATATAGGGCCTCAGGGGCTCTAGTACCCTATATAGTAGGTACCTGGGGGTTTAGGGTTTTGCAGGCCATCCTAGTACTTTGGAACTAGCTCTTGGATACCTACAGACACACATAAGTAGGTGCACTCATGCACTGGTAGGGTCGTTTCTGGCAGGGTCCGCCGGGTGTTTACAAGGGCCCTGTTCGAACATGGCAAATGTCAGGGACCCTAAACCCTAAAGCTCATGGCCGGGGTCAGAAAGGCTGGACAAAGCCAAGCAGGACCCTTTAGGACCGGCAGGTGGTGCTGGGAGCCACGGAGCCGCCAGCTCTGAGGGCACCAGCCCTCAGCACCAAACCCCTTGCACCTTGAGTTTAGGGTTTAGGGTTTTAGGGTGTAGGGCTGTAGGGTTGTAGGGTTTAGGGTTTAGGGTACCCGATATCCAAGGTCGAGCAGATTCAAAAGTTCGGCGAGAACTACGCCAACCAGTTGAAGAAGAGCCTTGGCTCCTTTAGATTGCTGTAGAGTATACGGAGGTTCCGTGCTTGTTGGAGTTTCGCTTTAGGGATTGATGCCAGATTGAACCGGCTCTTGCCTCGGCATGGAAGAGATGGAGTAGGCAGACCGTCCAGGACCCCTTAATTAAAAGGTATACCTTAGATCGCATTATAGGGCTCCTACTATAACTTAAGGTATATTCATAGTAGATCCCTTAATCTATGTGGTATTGGAAGAGATGGATTACATCGACCCGTTCAAGTCTCACGATGTACAGGTGGCAAATCCTTGGGTAGTTCTCGAAAATAGGGTCCCTTTTTAGGGTCCTTTTTATAAGGGTGCCGTAGTATTGGGGAACAACTGCCCCCTTGCAAATCTCGAGCACGAGCTTTTTCCGGAGTTGTATGGGTGGGATCGGAGAGGCACTGGGTGCCGCCAAATGTGGAGGCTATTTGCCGGGAAGGTGTTTCAGGGCTAGAAATTTGAGTGTGGCGGTCAAACCTTCTGGCGGACTCGTAGCAGTATAGTAGGTTGTATATCCATGCCTTTGCAATGCTAGATCGAGTATGTAGATAGCTATGCATCCTATGCCGTGCCTCGAAACCCATTCACTTTTCGTCTCGGACGCTGTATTGAATGTGAAATTTGCATGTTGAGAGGAGGGTCAAGAAGTGCCTCACCTGGCGGAAGATGGAGACAAACGTTGGTTCACCGGGTTTCAGTTGGACCGGTGCAGCTATATTGTTTCAGGTTGGACCTGTTTCGCATTGGTTTTCGATGGAAGCTTGAAGTTTGGATTATCAGCCTGTAAGCTTGGGTAAGGATGGGCGGCGTCTACTTCCTGCTGAAGCTTCGGGACACGAAGCCGTCGGAGCACGCATCGAAGATCAAGCTCCGCAACATCATCGTCTATGCAGCTTTGGCGACTCCGCGGCATCAGAAATCCAACAAACCTTGTCCGAAGTCATTCAACCCTCCCTGTAGCCGAAATTGCCGACCCTTTTAAGAAATTTAGGGTGCCTTATTAGATCGCTTCTATACATAGTTCCTTGAAAAGGTAGACAATTTGGGTCCCAGGTAAACACTAAACCCTAAACCTGAAGATGGGAAACCTGGAGGCATCAACCCGAGACCGCAAATTCGAAACCCTGGCACGATTTAGGGTTTAGGGCTACGGTTAAGCTAGAGAGATCGATGAAATCATACTGCTAGAGGCACTTCAGAGAGACCTCGTTCAAAAAAGGGTTACGGTTAAGTCCTAAACCCTTAAACTCTAACCCTGGAAGACTCACCACCCAAACGGCTTCCAGCATCCTCTTCAGACCTTGCCTCTCTTGTCCGAGCGTGAGCGTCATAAAGCACCAAATCTACACCCGCATCTCACGAAACCAAAGTTAAGAACAGTAAGGCCTTCAGAATCGTAACTCCTTACTAAAACCCTCGGCACCAGTGACAACAATGTTCGCAGCGCGGCCTCGAGCCGGCAACAAGCCTTGAAGCCTGTCATGCCTCAGTTTTGGGCTCAGGTCAACCCTAGGCTTTTCTGGGCGCGATGTCGTACATACTGTTATATGGGTACTAGAAAGCCGAGGAAATGAATGTACATGATTAGATTTGTAGGATTTATGTATTTTCGTTTGGCTGTGTTTGTACGGAGGTATGTCTGTTTGTATGTATGCATGCATGCATGCATGCATGTGTGTGACTGTTTCATTTAATTATGCATATGCATTTAGGTATTTATGCATGTATGTGTGTATGCATGCATGTATGCATGTATGCATGTATGTCTGTATACATGTATGTGTGTATACATGTGTCTATGCATGTATGTATGTATGTATGTATGTATGTATGTATGTATGCATTGTCTTGTATGGTATGGTGGTTGGTACGGTACTATGTATGTATGCATGTATGTATATATCTCTGTACCTATTCATGTATGTGTGCATATGTGCATATATACATATATGCGTATATACACAGATGGTCAGTAAGCCACTATTTGGAGAACAAAGGCACAGACAAGACATGCATTATTGGGACAGAGTGCGTTTCAAGGTATAGTGGATTGGGGTACTGTGGGGGTTGAAAATTCAGTGATGACATCCCCTTCTAGTCCCTCTGCCACTCCTAAACCCTAAGCGCTACAGTGCGACAGCGCGACCTATATAGTCAGCGAAGCGGTTGGGAAACATGGTTAAGGACCCGATAATATCAGCTACCTGGACCCTTGAAAGCAATCTTGTTTAGGATTCCTTTCTTGATTTGCTCTGATCGCTGGGAACAAAAATCTCTGGGGTGCGAAGTGTGAACCCTAGAAGCCCTTGGCCCTGTCAGGTTGTGCTTTCCGTCTACGTGTACATGACCCGGAGACCGATTGGTGATGCTTTCTGGCGCCTGGTCTTAGGAGTACCCTAAGCACTAGTTTCTTTACTGTTGGCGGTCTGTTGGCAACCTGGTTCCGTTGGTTACAAGTGCCACCAGCAAGTAGAAATCTAGGAAGACAAACGGTGTCCGTGTTGCATCTTATGGGTTCTTAGTTAGTTGGCAAAACCTACACGCAAGAAATCGGCCAGTGTTACTGCAAGTGGTTTGCTGGCCTCGCCTGCAAAACTTTCCTGCATGCCCCCCCATCTACGCTTCATGCCGGCCCTTCACACCTCGTAGAACATGTGTGTGTAGAGGTTTAAGGTTGCGGGTGTTGGGGAACCAATTTCAAGTCCCCATCAAAGCCAGCTTTTCAACGGGCCTGAGCCCTAGAAAGCCCGCCTTGAGCCCTTGCGGTCCCTGTGTGATGCAACCCTATCCAACCCTTTGAAGCCTTGCGTTAAACTGCGCAGCCCTCTACTAAGCCCTACTCCAAACCGCTAAACCCCTAAACCCTGAACCCTTTTGACCCCTAAACTCTAAACCCCGACCCATGAACCCTAAACCCCAGACCCAAAACCCTAAATCCTTAATCCCTAAGATCGGACCTTGTGAAGCCATGCCGGCCCTGCTTTCCGTGAGTCGAAACCCCCCCAGGTGTGCCAAAGGGGTCCAGGTTTCCTGGCCTGCAGCCACAGCTCAGGTCTCATTGTGGCTTAAGGTTGGGGATTTAAGTTTTAGGGTTCAGGGTTTAGGGCTTAGGCTTGGGGTTTAGGGTTTAGGGACCGTTGGGTTCTTGAGCTCACCCCAAGGGTCCAAAGGACCCACTAATCAGGTACTTCGGTTTCGGAGAGTAGTTATGTAGGCTAATATATATATATATATATATATTTATATGTATATATGGGAGAGTAGATGATTATTAGGCACTTGGACCCTTAGGGTTAGGGCCAGGCGTTACAAGGGGCCTTAACTTTGCTTTGAGGGCTTGCATACGACTACTAAATAAGAAGCCCAAAGAAAACATCAGGAGTTGTTTATAAGAAGCCCAAAGAAAAACATCACGAGTTGCTCTAATATTCAGACTTATATGTTATGCTGGGGCAGGGTCTTTAGGCTATGGCTTTTGGGTCTTGGGTGTTTCAGTTTTGAGGCGTGGGTTTAGGTGTTTGTTTTGTGAAGTGGTGGGGCTGAGTCTATCGATGACTATTCGATGTATGGGTCAGTTTCTCGGATATAGCCCAAAGCCCACAAGCCCTAGACTCGTATCGTTTAGGTCTAACTCCTGGTGTTTGGGGCTTTCGGCTCACGGGTTTCAGTGGTTCGAAGCTCGGCCCTTGCGCTTGGGGTTGATTCATGTGCCGGGGGGGGGTCTCCGGGGCACATGCTTGGAGTTTCAACGTTAATTTTGGATTTAGAGGTTTCTGGGTTTCGGGGAAACTCGTTGTTTCGGGTTTGAGATGTTCGAGTCGAGGTTCTTTTCTCCAGGAGTTTGGCTTCAGGTTGGTTCTTTTTCCTTAAGCAGCAGCGCGCCCCAAGTGTTGTATTCGCCGGAACCAGCAGTTAAGTCCCCAAACCGGTTCAGCCCCTCTCCAGGAAAGTCCGACCTGTATAACTGAAAGCCTAAGCCCCTGAAGCCCTAAACCCAAAAACGCTAAACCCCTGAAGCCCCAAACCCACAATCTCTCGCCGGTTTCACCAAGTTGTGACCCTATGAGCTCTAAGTTAGGTCCAACAGAAACCCCAACGATCCATTTGCTCATATGGGTAGTTCTCCAAATTAGCGTCCCTTTTAGGGTCCTTTTTACAAGGGAGCGGTACTATATTGAGGCCACGAAAAGGACCCCAATTTAGAGAACTACATATATGTGGTGAGTGTGTGCTGTGGCGACCATAACCAAAATGGTATGGTTTAAGGAGCAGAAATCAGCACTCAGAGCGGCAGCAACACATAATGCGCACCGGTTTCTCAGACAGACCGTGATGTTCTTTCGCCTGGAGCTGTGAATGAAAAATGTTTATGGAGCCGTACCACTGGGCCCTAAATAATTACCCATACTATTGTGTGGGGTTTCTTAGTATGATTATGCTAAAATCTGCCCCAAACTCTATTCTTATTAAAGCCCTTGAGGATGGCAGAGAGAGAGAGAGAGACAAATATATATATATATATATATCAATAGAAAATATATATATATATATATACTCATATCTTACTTTATGCTATGTTGCCTTGTAGCATATCCTTTTTGTTTACATTTTAAGGTATTTTTCAATATTTTGGTTCACATCTTATTGTACAATATGATTTTAATTTACAATGTTTTATGTCATGTCATGTGTTCTTTGGCATAATAGTATATGGCAAATCTTTATATCACCTGCTAATATACTATATATTGTTAGAAGATGTTATAAGTGTTATGTTTTACATTTTAGTTTATTGTTTATTATATTGTGAAGTATAGTGTTACGTTGTGTTATGTTGTTCTTCTTGTGATATTACAATATACTACAGCGGCAGCGCCGGTCAAGAAACAGATGTTTTTTTCGTGAGGGGGAGGCTCGCTGTCTTATTTTTGGAGCGCACCCTAAAAAAGAAACATCTGGATTTGAGCATACCCTGCATTTCTTAACTCATTTTCTTAATTTGAAAACCTCCCGAAAGAAGAAATTGAGCCTCTCAATTTCTTAAATTTAAGAAATCGAGCCCCTCAATTTCCTATTTTGTCGGTGTTTTTCAATATGACAAAGCTTTCAAAACGCCCTTA